AGGTATACCTACTTAGGAGGTAGGTATACCTACTTAGGAGATGAGATACATCTATGTATTCTTAGGCTAGGTTGTCTAAATTTTATCCCATTTAATTTAAACCAGTGGCTTTTAGAGATTAACTATGATGAAAACAATAGCTATTACAGTACGCTGTGGCTCATCTTCTGTCATGATAAACATTTCTCAAATTTTTGCCTGACTGGCTATGTCCTAAGCATAGAACTCATTTAGAGAAGAATACAGAGAAACAAGAATGGCTATGCTACTGTTAACAAACAAAGATTATTCTGGGCTTTTAAGCTACCCTGTCTATGATCAGTTTTTAACATCTTGGTTTCTTGATATTTTCTTCTTGTTTTGAGAAAACATACCTCTAAATCTAATTTATAAATCAAGTTATATTAGGAGCGCAGGAACAGGGCTTGAAGAAAATCCTTCTGACCAAATGAAACGGTGCCATTCCCATAACATTTTCAAAAGAATCTTAAGTCACCAAAACATAAATACGTTCATAAAGACTTATGAAGGGATTATTCTTAAAACCTGGATACAGGAAAACATTAGCACAAGAGGGATAAAAGGTTTTAACATTTGCCATAAAATTGCCCCCTAGAAAGGTATTTTTCACTATCTTTTGGGGAGCTCTAAATGCAAATGAGGCCCCAGCCTGTGGCCTAGGAAAGGATTCTAAGATAATAAATAGCAAGGCGGCTTGCACCAACCTACCTAAAAGGGAGCGTTTAAGAAGGATATTGAGAACTGGTGTGCGTCAACTTGGCCATCCCCCAAGAAATACAGTTTTGTTCCTTGAGAGCTGAGTGGGAGGAATTCATGGACATTAAATTCCTCAGCACCAAGCTGGAGTCAAAAAGTCTCATTTGCCTTTGTTGAACAGAGGACATTCTGCTTTAACTGATTTGATGACCTTCTTGGATTACAACCTTGTTTTGGAAAACAGTAGAAAGATAGCAGTTTTTTCAGTACTTAAGGTTTGGTCATTAAAATGTCTAGGCATAAAGTCTTCTTGAAAATAGTAAATACCTCAGGCTGTGTAATCTGCATCACAGGCTTCAATGTATTCATCTTTCAACGCTTTGAAAGATATTCATGGCCAAGGTCCAAAAAACTACTCAATAAATATAATACAGTAGTCATCAGTGTGCCCAACTCATAGGATATTAGTAACAGGTGAGGCAAGAAGAGACCCTCGGAGGTTAGGAGAAGGTGTTGGGGGGGGTTGGTAGTGGTGGGGCTTTATGTTTGAAGATACTAATAAATAATTTGATAGTTTTATTTTGTGTGTAGTGTACCACATATAAAGTATAATACATTAAACTGATAATAACCCAGAGGTTTATTTTAGAAAGAACTTTAAAATAAGTGATTTTCCTATTAAGGATTAGAAACTAAGTTAGATATGTCTTTAAATATTTTGAAAATCCAGAACCAGATATATTGATCCATAATTAGGAATGGCCAAATTGATTTTTTTTTTTTAATATTCTGTCAGACTCTGATCATCTTTCCAACACACCCACACTTTCCTTAAAGCCAAGTCTATGGTTAGGATATGATGACACCAAAAAATGGAAGCCATAATTGAACATGGCTCAGTTACAGATTTATATTATTCTAAACTATCCACCAGTTCTAGATTACTTTTAGAAATTGAGAACAAAATTATTACAAATGAAATACAAGAAAATTACTTGTCAAATCTCACACTTGTTTGGGAGTATACAGACTAGGTTTACTCCTTTGAAATGACTATATCTCGCAGTCCTATAAAATATTCTTAACGAGGAAGGCAATCTGACTAAATGAAAAGCCACTTAGATTGTTAATTATATGTTAATTGGATTGTCATAGTTTAGCAGATAGGAAGTCAAACGGATTAAAGACTCTGCCTTAACTAACGGGTAGCAAAAGTATAATTTGTTGGGGCTCCAGTTCTTTCAGATTACTCAGTTGGTCTCCTCACCGTTTTACTCCATTCACATATTATTCACAGTTAAACACTAAAACCTTCAAGCAATAAAAGTTTTGACTTCTGGTCTCCAAGACTGACAAAACCTAAACCAACTAATCAGAGAGTCTAAACGATTACCAGTTATTTTTCAGTGATATGTTTCCCATTCAAGCTTCTTTTTAACTGGACCGCTGTGCATGTTGAATGGGTACAAGATGTGCAACCATTGACCGAGTTTGGGCAAGCAATGCTAATACTGCTGACGGTTCTGCTCTTGGAAGAGGGCCATGCTTTCCGTTGCATGCATTACACTGACCCTGTACTTTCTTTCCTTTCCTTTGTTTCCTGTGCCATGCTTGCTGTGTAGCAAATGGAATCTCTTGCAGTAAGTTAACTTTCTTTCATACTCTTTGTCCATTTTAGGCATGGACCCATAACAAATCTTATTTTTACGGTTACTATTCTAGCTCTTAGCATGTTTTCCCCTTTGCGTTTCATTTTATTTTATTTGGTAGACTGAGACGTGCAGTGAATTAGTAGCATTCTGGGCTGCTTTCGTCCCAAAGTAGAAACTTAAGTTGCTATGAACTCTCATACTATCAGTGGGATATCTTGAGTAATAACCAGCACTATAACAAAGGTCAGAGTTTTCATAGCTAGGTTACACCTTAAATTTGTGAAGGTAACATTATGTTTTTAAAAATACTTTTTTATTTATCTGCAAGTCTCTGGCAGTTATCTTTTACATCAGATTTTAAAAGATTTCCATAAAGAAAGGTTTAAATGATCAAAAAACAAAATGCTTGACTAAAACAACCAAAGATCCAGTTTGGGTTAACTAATGAGTGTAGCTACTTCTTTAAACTTGTGTTTGGTATCAGCATTGAGAGATCAAATCAGTCTAAATCTAGAATTGTTATTTTCCCCCCAGGAGCCAGGGAAAGGACAAGACAAAAGAAAACTTCATTGAGCATAGCCTTAGCACGGACTTTTGTAACTTTTAACAATTAGGATCAAAATTCTCTTAGCACTATTAATTGGATAGTCTTCCTAAAGCCTAAATTTAAATTCTTGTCATTTCTCTCCCTAAACTGATTTGGGGGAGCAATTTTAAGAGACCTCAGAAGCTCTCAATTCTGAGCTGAGTTCTTTATAGTCCATTAGCAAAAGAAAGGCCCTATTTATCCTTACTTAACCACATTTGAACACTGAACAGTGACATGTTTCGTTGATGCCACATATTTAACCCACTTTCCCTGGTGACTGCTGAGCCATGAAATTCTATCTCGTGAAGGCTGCTCTTTTCTTCCACAGAATTGCCATCCACCACCTAGGAGCTAACTCATTCTTAGAGTAAAACGGACAAAGTGTAGAGCCCATTACAAGCAGATACAGCTCAAAGAGTAGTATGATCGTTGGTGTTGGAATTACTCAAGATTTATTTTTCCCTCATAGTAGACCTAAGCCATATAATGAAAACATTTTAAATTCCAGAGGTAGCTATAGGGCTCAAGGGCCATTTTATATGATTCCTTTTTAATGTTCTTTCCACACAAAGTTTTGAATGTTCCCTTAATTTCTCTTTTCTCCTAGCACTTGTAGCCCCTTTTTAACTCTGTAATTCAACAAATATTTACTAAGCACTGAGTAGAAGCATTGTCACTAAAACTGATACAACACCTTAGAGGATCATATGACTGACTGTTGTGTTTACACAGACTTTGAGATGAGTGTCTGCACTCTAAAAGGCAGCCAAAATTGTCCCATGGAGTAACCCCCCCAGTTGCTGAACTTACAAATTTAACACCTAGAATGACTTAAATGTTTTGCCTTTCAAATATACTTTTCATAATTGTTTTTGCTTTTTAAAACAATTTTAGCTTATAAAAATTAAGACAACTGCAATTAAGATGACCACAGCTATAATTTGTAGGGATTTAATTGGCAAACATAATGAAAATCCGGTGATTCACTGAGTCCCTTTATGGCAACTCCTTCTAATTAGTCATCTTCCAGGAGCTATTCTATCTTGTATTGTGAATTTCTCACTGATATTTATTGGCTGGATTTTGTTGTTCTGTTTCATCTGGAATAATAACAGCTAGTTCTGTTTCCTTGATGTAAAAAAAAAAAAAAATGTTTTTCTCCACCGAGATTTCCCTTGTTATACAAGAATGATCCTTAATAACTGTTTCTTCCCATGCACACTCTCTCTTTAGCAATTGGAACTGTGCCAGAGGTTATATAAGCTGCACTTCCAGCTGCTGCTGCTTTTTCAGTCCTACTGTAAGCTCATCGGCCAGGTGCACGAAGTCAGCTCCACGCCAGAGGTGAGCCGCACACCTCCCGATGCCAAGTCCTACCATGAAAATCATTCTTTTCCTTTTGGTCTCTCCCCCCAGCCCTTTTATAACTGTCCAAGTGATTTTATTCCCACATAACTGATTTGCTCAAACACAAAACTTAAATATGTGTTGTCTTTCCTTCCGCTCTTGTTTGGCAGTGCCAGGACTAGGGCAAAGCAAGTGACTAGCCGAGGCACAAAATTTAAGGACAGCCCTGAGTGAGTGCCTCACCTGCTGCTATGCCGAGAGGCCTCACTTGGCCCACTCTGATCCTGACCCTGGTTCTGGACATCCTTCTTTGAAAAAGTTCCTGTGTTACGGTTTTTCTTCTTTATATTTACTTTTTCATACTTGCCCTAACATTCAGATAAGAAGTAAATATCTACATGACGTTTGATTCTCTTCAGTTGCCCTGTCCTGCTTAGCATTAGGATGCTTTAATATTTTTAAAAGTAACAAACATACTACTTCCAAGAGAGCCAAAATTTTCCTAGAAGTGAAGAAATATTACTGCAACAAAGTAAGTGAAATAATGGTGATGTACACTGGATATTATGGAAGCGCAAAGGTCAAGCATCTAATTCAGCTGGAGGTGAGGAGGTTGAAATAGGAAAGCTTTCTGGGGGAAATCACACCTGAGCTGATTCTTAAAGAAGGAGATGGAGTTAGATGAAGTGAGGGCTAAGGAGAAATGTTCCATTAAGCAGCTGCAGCATGAGCATAAAGTGGTAAAAAAGAGAAGGGAACTACAGGGGCGCCTGGGTGGCTCAGTTGGTCAAGTGTCTGTCTTCAGCTCAGGCCATGATCCCAGGGTCCTGGGATCGAGCCCTGTGTCCGGCTCCCTGCTCAGTGGGGAGTCTGCTTCTCCCACTCTCAAATAAATAAATAAAAATCTTAAAAAAGGAAGCAAAAGGAACTTACTTTTTTTAAACATTTTATTTATTTTAGAGAGAAAGCATGAGCAGGGGTAGAGGGAGGGGGAGAGAAGCCGACTCCCTCCTGAGCACGGGGTTTCATCCCAGGACCTGGAGATCATGACCTGAACTGAAACCAAGAGTCGAACACTTAACCAAATGAGCCACCCAGGCGCCCCAAGTACAAGCAATTTAGTATTGCTAGAATATGAAATGCAAACCAAAAAGGAAGAATCAGGCACAAGAGATAGGTAAGGGTTAGATGACGGAAGATACTGTGCCTGGGAATGTTTTAGTTAGATTTTTATGGCAGGGATGTGAAGGGTGGATTTGATGACACATAGGCTGGAGACAGGAGACTAGTCACTAGGTTGTTGAAATAGCTCAGACAAGGATGAGGGTTTTGACCAGGACAGAAGGGCTAGGTATGGAGAGAGGACAGAAAATGAAAGAAAGACTTAGCACAAAAGGCCAATGAAACTGATTAGGGGTCAGGATGAGGAATGAAGGAGAAGAAAAAGTCGAAGGCCATGCTGAGGTTCCATCTTCGATGAACCAGGTGACCCGTGGTAACACAGCTGACACAGGGATAAAGGAGGACTGAGGCCACTATACATCCACGCGTGTTGGTCAGGGACTATATCGGCCTACTAGACCATGCCCAGGTTTAATGACGTCTTGCAAGCAGTTCAATGGGAGGATCTGAGGTCAGAGGAGAGATGTGGACTAAAGGTGCAGATGTGCTGGTCGTCCGTGAACAGCCCATCCTACCAAGAGCAGTGGGGTGAGGACGGAGCCCAAGAAACCTCACGTCGGAGGAGGGTAGAGGAGGAAACACACATGACAGCCTTGTTACCATATTTATCACTTAGTTTGATAAAAGGAAAATGACTGAATAGTTTTTAAGTATACTTTTAAATGCCAATTTCAAGGGAGGGGTATGAAGATCTCTTCACAAACCAGGCTTCCTCCACAGAATTACAAATTATTAAAGAGAACACAGTTAATGCAAGTTATAGGACATGTTGTCAAGATAAAGTTTGCTATTCTAGCAAATATTAACAGGAACCTTAGAGTCCATCTCTGCTCAAAAAATAACGCACATTAAATGTAACTCATGTCATTTCCCATATTTAAGAGCAATTCAGGTTTCACTTTAGAGTAATAAAATTGTGTATTCTTATCATGTATATATATATTATGCATAATTATTTCAATCTAATAAATTTAAAGTGAATTTCTCCTTAATTATTTTAAATCTAGGGAAGTCTTAAATGGCTATACACACATACACATAGTATATAAAACATCCCTAGCTTTGAAATAATTAAGATATTGACTTTCAAACTTAAAAATTATATATATAAAATACTCTAATATTCTTTTTAATTAAAGTATACTTGACATACAGTATTATGTCAATATTAGTTTTAGGCATACAACTTAGTGATTTGACATTTATATACATTAGGGAATGCTACCCCAACAAATGTAGCTTCCATATGTCCCCAAAATTATTACAATATTATTTACTCTATATGCTGTACTTTTCATCCCTGTGACTTTATAACTGGAACTTTGTACCTCTTAATCCCCTTCACATCTTTCACCCATCCCCCAACTCCCCTCCCCTCTGGCAACCACAAGTTGGTTCTCTATATTTGAACCTGTTTGTTTTCTTTTTTAGATTCCACATATAAGTGAAATCATACAGTATTTGTCTTTTTCCATCTGACTCACTTAACTTAGCATAATACCTTCTAGGTCCATCCATGTTGTCACAAAGGCAAGATCTCATTCTTTTTATGGCTGTGCAGTTATCCAGTGTGTGTGTGTGTGTGTGTGTGTGTGTGCGCGCGCACATCTTTATCCATTCATCTATTAATGGACACTTGGGCTGCTTCCATATCTTGGCTATTGTAAATAATCCTGCAATAAACAAAGGGGTGCATTTATCTCTTCAAATTAGGGCTTTTGTTTCCTTTGGGTAAAATACTGAGTAGTGGAATTACTGGATCATAGGGTAGTTCTATTTTTAGTTTTTTGAGGAACTTCCATACTGTTTTTCAGTGGTGAACCAATTTATCATCCCTCCAAACAGTGCACAAGAGCTTCCTTTCTCCACATGCTTCCCAACACTTGGTCTTATATTTTTGATATTAGCCATTCTGACTGCTCTGAGGTGATATAGTTCATTGTGGTTTCAATTTGCATTTTCCCTGATGATTGGTGATGTTGAGTATCTTTTCATTGGACTGTTGGCCATCTGTAGATCTTCTTTGGAAAAAAGTCTATTCAGGTCCTCTGCCCATTTTTTTCATCAGATAGTATGAGTCTTTACATATTTTGGAGATTAACCCTTTATCAGATACATCATTTACCAATATCTTCTCTCATTTAATAGGTTGCTTTTTCATTTTTTTATGGTTTCCTTTGATGTGCAAAAACTTTAGTTTCATGTAGTCCCAATTGTTTATTTCAGCTTTTTTTGCCCTTGCCTGAAGAGACCTATCCAAAAAAATATTGGTAAGACCAATGCCCAAGTGTTTACTGCCTATGTTTTCTTTTAGGAGTTTTATGGTTTCAGGTCTTACGTGTAAATCTTTAATTCATTTTACTTTTGTACATGACATAAGAAAGTGGTCTAATTTTGTGAACACTTTTTAATGAAAAGATTTTTTTTCTTCTCCATCATATATTTGTGCCTTGTCAATTAATTGTGTACATATGGGTTTATTTATAGGTCCTCTGTTCTGTTCCAAGCATCTATGTATCTTTTTGTTCCAGTACCATATGTTTTTGATTACTATTACTATTACTATTGTAGTATAGTTTGAACTCTGGGATTGGGACACCTCTAGCTTTGTTGTTCTCTCTCACAATTGCTTTGGCTATTGGGGCTCTTCTGTTGTTCCACACAAATGTTGGGATTATTTGTTCCAGTTCTATGAAAAATGCCTGTGGTATTTTGACAGGAATTGCACCGAAGCTATAGATTGCTTTGGGTAGTATTGACATTTTTAAAATATTATTTCTTCCAATTCATGAGTGTGGTATAACTTTCCATTTGTTTGTGTCCTCTTCAGTTTCTTTCATCAATGTTTTATAGTTACCAGAGTGTAGATCTTTTACCTCCTTACATTTATTCCTAGGTATTCCATTCTTTTCAATGGAATTGTAAATAGGATTGTTTTCTTAATTTCTCCTATTGTTATTAGTGTACAGAAATATATGGATTTCTGTATATTAATTTTGTATCCTGCAACTTTACTGAATTCATTTATCAGTTCTAATAGTTTTTTGGTGGAGTCTTTAGAGTTTTCTATGTATAGTATCATGTCATCTGCAAAGAGTGACAGTTTAGTGTCTTCCTTAACAATATGGATGCCTTTTCTTCTTGTCTGACTGCTGTGACTAGGACTTCTAGTTCTATGTTGAATAAAAGTGGCAAGAGTGGCCATCCTTGGCTTGGGTTCCTGATCTTAGAGGAAAAGCTTTGAGCTTTTCCCTGTTGAGTATGATATTAGCTACAGGTATGTCATATGTGACCTCTATTATGTTAATGTATGTTCCCTCTATACCCACTTTGTTGAGTTTTTTAATGAATGGATGCTGAACTTTGTCAAATGCTTTTTTTTAATCTATTGAGATTAATCATAATTTTTATCTTTCATCTTGTTAATATGGCTTATCACATTGATTTGTAGATCTTGAACCATCCCTGCATCCCTGAAATAAATCCCTTGGTCATGGTAAATGATCCTTTTAATATAGTATTGAACTCTGCTAATGTTTTGTTGACAATTTTTACATTTATATGAATCAGGAATATTGGCCTTTAATCTTTTGTCTGTACTGTGCTTGTCTGATTTTGATATCTGGATAATACTGGCCTTGTACAATGAATTTGGAAGCATTCTTTCTGCTTCAATTTTTGGAATACTTTGAGAAGGATAGGTATTAAATATTTTTTACATGTTTGGTAGAAGTCACCCATGAAGCCATCTGGTCCTGGATTTTTTGTTGGGAGTTTTTAGATTACTTATTCAATTTCATTACTAGTAATAGGTC